TAATTTTATATATTTAACACACTAAAATAACCTTCAAAATAACACAGCCCGTGCATCGCACGGGCAAGAACTAGTAATAGTAAAAATGTCAAAATTTGAAATGAATAATTACAATTTCAGTACTCAAATTTTTTTTTTTTTTACAAATTAAATTTAAATTTTTTATGTGCCACCTATAATTCAAAATTTCTAAAACTATACTTTCGGCGTCATCCTTCTTTCCAAACAAGGAGAAAAGAAACCAAAAAATGCCTCCAAATACAACCAAGCCAAACAATCATTTTGGAGGAAGAAAAGTGTTAAAATTAAGAAGATACCCCAAATCACGTACTTATCTAGACAATAATGCCTGCAAATATGACATTGAAATTTCCACGCGAGAATACATGTTGTGGAAAATACATTTTGACATGAGATATTGTCTATACTTTGGCTTTGTTTATTATCATTGCAAAATAGAGACGAACAGTAAAAAACATGAATTGTTTTACCTCAAATTTGAAAACGATGAACATTAAAAAAATAATAATAATAATAATTGGAATCATGGGCAATACACACTTTAGTTCTATATCTCAATGGAAAGTATTTGTCTTATTGCATGTCCAAAGTTTGTGCATCATGAAATTACTGCTACTAATTATTAATCTTCTTACATTTTCCGTGTCATTTGTCAAGCGCTTTAAGCTTACGCCTTCATCAAGGCATATGATTTTGGGCATTTAATTGATATTTAGTGTCCGTATGATTTCACATAGAAAAAAATTTCATGCATTGGTTTACCTCAAATTTGAAGATGATGAATAGAGAAAAAAAATATATTAATAATTGAATATTAAAATTAATATTAAGATTAAGGACATTTTATGGATAATTGGATAATATAATTACAAAATAAATAGTCATGTAGTAGACGTATTACATCCTTGAACCTCATAAATATCAAAATTTTTAGTATTGTTGGAATAAGATTTGACGAAACCCTTTCGAACTACTGTCACTTTAATGGATCATTCATAGTATTTGATTCAATGATGCAGGAGAGCAAAATATTCGATGGTTGAAATAAAATAACAACCAATTTGATATAATAATTTAAATAGTTGAGAGATTGATTCATCTATGTCTAACTCTCATGAGAACAATCAAATACATTAATGAGCATGGAATTTAATTAATTTGAAATAATAAATATAGAAAAATAATAATTTATATACACGTGATATTGAAAATTAATTTAGACAAAAAGGTGTGTACGTGAACCCGGAAAATAAATTTATATCATGGATTAAATGAATTATCTTGAAAATAAATAAGTGTACATGAAATTGAATAATTTATTTACTCATATAGCGATTGAATAGCCTCCAAAACATATAAAGTGTACGTGAACGTAACTTAAAGAATTAATTTACATTGAGAGAAATGCAAGTCCTTGAAAATAAATGTTAATTATTATACATGCACGTAAATAGTGAATTGCATAATTGGATATTAAATACATATTGAAAAATGAAAAGTGATATATTATTGAAATAATCGAATTGAAGTGGGATTAGAATCATCCGAAAAATGATTCTCACTTGATGCCATATTTAATATATTATATATTTGTATGAAATTGTTTGAAGCGGATTGTGGTTCTTTGCTGTCAACCTTAGCCCTTTCGACACTGTCTCTGAAGGTTGTGCTCATGATGAAGTTATTGGCATTAAACTTCTTTTTTTTTTTAGATTTATCAATCACTTGAATTTTATTGGTGAGAAGATTTCTCATCAATGTCATGTCAATTATTGTTGGTCCAGAATCGCGTTTAATAACAATAAACACAAATCATATAGTTTGCTGAACAAAAATTATCAAAACACGAAGAATTTTTTGCCTCCTTTGGGGCCAGATGTTCAGTTAAATAGTCTACTCACCCATTGAACATCTACCAAATAGATTAGGCTCGAATCCACTAAGAAAATTACAAAGTTCAAATTACACAATGTTTTCTATTTCTTCACTGTTTTCTTCTAACCTCTCATATACAAATTTTCACTATACTACAATGGTGTATACATAATACACTCAAGAATATCACTCAGATATTACACAAGATCACAACAAAAGATCTCAAGAACAGAAAACCAGAGATAAACGCTCGAGAGAGAAAACCAAGAGAAAAACCCTAGAACTGAATGACTTAACCATCGAAGAGTCCAGAAGCCAGAATAAAAACAACCCTTTAATTTCTCCATCCAACAGTCCAAAGCGTGCGACATGTAGAGTCAAGATTACACCATTTAATAATAGTAGACCGGTTTGGCACAAGTAACACGCATAAGCCCAAGTAACATAATAGAATAGGGCCTACAAAACTGGAGAGGCCCAACAGATTAGAATAGAGAGACAGTCCATATCCAACAATTATCATTAATCACAACAAAAAATGATCGAGATAAACAAAAATCAACGTTTAATGGCCAATGTGAGAACTAGTGTACGAGCCGCACTCCATGAACATGCCATGTTCAAACAGTATTACCCCTAGCGTATTTATAACCCTAAAAGGCATGACATCATTGAATAAGAATAAACAGGTTAATTACGTCAATGATTATTGAAATTGAAGTTATTTTTCTTATATGAAATAGTCACTTATATTTTTAGGTGACATCCTTTACAGTTCCTTCTTATTGTACTTCTAGGTCAACCCAATCCAAATGGGAAGAAGAGGGTTAGCCAATCTAGTGTCCACTTTGTAGGGCTGTCCATGGGTCGGATCGGTTCGGTTAGGTTCGGTTCGGTTCTGAAGAGACCCGAACCGACCCAAAACTTTCGGGTATTTAATAAATGGACCCGTCGGGTCCAAATATAATTATGGAACCGTTCGGGTTCGGTTCCGTTCGGTTCGGTTCGGGTCGGTTCGGTTCCGTTTGGTTCCGTATTGATTTATTTAATTAATTTGCTAATTTGTTTAGAAAAAAATAAAATAATTTAATTAATTCAATATAAAAAATAAAAAAATTATTTAGTTTCGGTTCTTATTCGGTTCTTCGGTTCTTGGTCTAGACCCGAGACCCGACCCAAACCCATCAGTTCTCGATTCGGGTACCCGTTCGGGTATTTAATTTATGAAGAATCGCTCGATTCGATTCGATTTTGTACATTTGCTGAGCAGATGAATCAATCATTGGGAAGGGAATTTATCATCAAAGGAAGGGGAATGGTCGAATGGAAGCTTATCCTTGACTACTTTTTATCTTTTATTTCGTATCGCTATTTTGAAAAGGTCAAAAACCATTAACTTTAAATCTTAATCAACAAGATTGGCAAACTAAGAATTAAGGATTAAACAAGATGAGAAGATGTAATGTAACTTTAGGTTCGATCAAATTCAAGCTTCGATCATATGGTAAATTTACACTTTTTTTAATAACGATTTTTTCTGACTTGACGTAATAAATAATGTCGTTTGAAAACATGAAGACACTTGGAATTTAATGTTAATATTTTGCCGAAGTAAATATTAGTGTAATAGTTAAAAATTTGAGTAGGAAAATAACTGCAGTTACATTAACATAATTACTTTAAACTTTAGTGATCATTAGTGTAATTAACCAAAGAATAAACTAAAAGCCAAACGACATCGCACTCTCCATTCAGTCCACTCTATCCAATTCCCTTGAGGAGGGACAGGGAGCCAAAACCTGTAATTATCAATTCAATTCAGATAGTAATGGCGAAGGGTAAGAAAGAGCTGCTGGCGTCAGCCCCATGGAGGGTGGAGGAAGAGGAAGAGAAATTCAAAGACGCGAAGCTGAAAGTGACAAACCAGCCAGGTACAACCCCCAAAATGCACGTCCCTGGAAATAAGAAGTACAAAAACGACGACGTTGCGGAAGATTCCCTCACTGAAATCGACCCCGAACTCCGCTACAGCTTCCAGCGCAATTTCCAAGTAATTGAATTAATATTTTTGTTTACACGTATTTGTACATATGCTTGTGTATTTATATGTTTTAGGTTAACTATATGAGAACCCATTTGGTAAAATGTGGTATATTTATGTGTTTTGTGGTGGAAATTTAGTATTATGGGAGAAAGGTACAATCTTTGGTGGCCTGAGGAGCAACTTGATAATGATTGTGTTTGCTGGGATTGTGGGTTTTATTTTTATTGTGTTGTGTTCTTACATCTTATGGTTGCTCATAATTAAGCATCAAGGTCTTAGAGTGAATCGAACTCTATATTTTATTTTTAGTGCATTGTTTTAGTTTAAGCAGGCTGAGCATAGTTTGTTAAAGTTGGAGATTGGTTCGAACTTTAGTTGGGCTAGTGTTGTGATTCTAAATTGAATGAAACAAGTAATGAAGAATGTGATTGCTTTTCCTCCTCTCACCGTTGCTGAGTTCTGCAACCTGTCTTTAATTCAATTGTGTCCTTTCTTCAGGTAAACCCTCCATCACTTCAACTTATCCACCTTTCTTTGACATCCATAACTATCCTCTTTGGAAAACCCTTGTTCCACCAACATTACCTCCTAAAGCCTTCCCGAACGTAATTGTTCTTCCCCAGTTTCATTCATTGAAAGAGTTTAGGGTCACCTGGAGAATTAGAAAGAAATATGACCTTTGCAATATATCTCCTTTTGTTGAAAGAAGGGAACCTCTAGGAGGACAGAGGATGTAATACGGTGCCCGTGCATCAGTTGACAATGCTCACCACTATCTTTATCAGATTGTGCTCAGCTCAATCTAAGCCAATGTTCGTGTTGGGATCCTCATGTTGTAACTCAATCCCTGCATATACTCACTTCTTGCTTTTCAGTTGTTAGCCACTGGGTTGGTGGCAGGTCCATGGTCATCTTAATCACTTGTATGAGGACATCTTCTCGGAGTGACTCTTGATACAAAGTAATGACGGATGCTCATTAACAAAGATTCCAATCAGCAACTTACGAGAATTAAGAAGTATTGAAGAGAGAGAGAGAGACAAGACAAAGAAGAGAAACTAGAAAGGGAAATTTGTAATGGTATTCAATAATCAAAGTGTAAGTAAAACAGTTAACCCTCTATGTTTAGGGGTTTAAATAATCCTAAGTAGAAAATTAAAGATATCTAATTTAAATAGAAAACAAAAAATTTAAACCTAATCTAATATGAACTAGAATTAAAGAAACCACAATATTTAATTTATTTTTTCCTCAATATACTTTAATCGCTGCATCACAAAGTCTTTGTCTATAACAAATGAATGCCTGCTGATTAACCTATTCCTCTCATCATAATAAAGCATGTTCTACTCTAGTTTGTTACTTAACCCTTTCCTCTAAAAATACTTCACCTGATCCATACACCCAAGCTGTACCAAAGTCAGCCACACTATTTTTCGTTTTCATAACCTTTGTCGTTATTGACCATGGCCGTCATACCATCAAAATTTTTTTTTTTTCAAACTGATATGGAAACAAAACATTGCATTCATTGTACAGAAGTCATTAGCGTCTTGTAATCTTATATCCTGTGCAATTTATTATATATGTAAGATGTGTTGTATCATTGCAGTCATTGATGTATTTCTTTCACATGTGTGCAGTTTATTGGTCATGTTTTTAGCATCGACACCATTGTCAAACCTCTTCCTCCTGCAATGGCATATAATGTCTCCCGCAACTTGAGCTTCTTCACACGAATCTTTACACAGTTCTTTGGTAAGTTGAATTCTCCGAGTGTGTATTCTCTGGTGCTGCCCTTTGATTTCAATAGGAAAAGACAATATGATTAGGGTCTTTTTGTTTCTTTTACTTTCCTTTTCTTTTGTTTCTCTCTCATGGGATGGTATTAGCTTCAATTCAGTGACTTCTTGCTTCTCCATTGGTTAGATTAGCTCCACATGTAATTAAGCACAATCCATATATAATTAACAAATATTGAACATTAACCTGGTAATAACAAGACCTGACATAAGATGGAAGAAATAAGTAATACGACGCCAGACAATTAGCTCGTACTTCAGATGAAAACTAGTCACCAATGAGTTTGTGCTCATATGTTATGGTTTCATTTCTCTCCCCCTCCCTCTCACTCTCCCCCTCCCTCTTATTTTTTTTGTAGACTTCTCCATATAGCTTCTTTTTACTTGTTCTCTTCGGGTGAGGTGCTTGGTGTTGATGGGGTTATGTCTGACATGTATTGACTTTATTTGCTTTGGCAGTTCTAATGGAAAGGAGGGAGGGAGGGGGTGGTTGGCTGGGGGACGGTAGTTGAAGGAACCGTTATATTTCTAGCCATTTCATTCATGAATTACAGAAGAATGAAATGCATTTGCTATACTTCGCTGCACGGAAAATTTCTGCTTTCTAATGATGCTTCTCCCTCTCTTCTTTTTCTGTTTCTGTTTGGGCAGACCCTGAAGGTATAGCAAATGCACAGAAATCTCTTGGATTAGGCCAAGAAGAAAAAGTTCGTAAAGTCCGCTGAGCAAGTTCTTGAATTCCAGAGAAATTTGATTGGTTCGTTTGAGAAGTGAGAACTAATCTCTCCAGTGTTGATGGAAGAGCAATTTGTATTCCAAAGTTGTCAAGGCGTATTGCATAAATTAATTTCTCTAACTTCTGCCAGAAACATTCGTGTTTGCTTAATCACTTGAAACGAAGTATATTCTAGCTCTCGGAAATTGTACAATGTTTTAATGTTAAACATCGTCCACAACGATCATAACTGCAATTGAACTGAAAGGTTGAGGACTAAATGTTTAGATTTAAGGGTTGGGAATCAAAGTTTCTACAAACACAAAATGTTGGTGAATGGTGACTGATGCCTCAATTTTCTCAAGTTTATACTAGTAATTTGTTTTCCTTTTCAATACGTTCCTAGATCTGCTTAACATGCACGTAAATTTAAAGAAACACTTGTCAGCAGGGCTGAGTCAGCACCTAGCGAGCTCTTACGGCCGCCCATGTTAACTCGGTCAAAATTATTTTTTTTCCTCATATTGCACGACTGCTCGAGCTGCCATTTAGCGACCGATCATCTGTGTTCACATGAATTCCTGAATCCATCACTACTTGTTAGTGTGATGAAATGGATCAATTTCTTGTAATAACAGAATATTTAGGACATAAAGCACTAATATTATTGCAATAGGCAAAATGAAACATTTCAAAATGAAAATTACGAAACCCCATAAATTTATTAGCACTAAACAAGTCAATTAGGAGGGTTACAGACGACAGGAGCGTTTGCAACATCACTGCATATAAGATTTTTAGGCATTTAACTTGCAGACTAATGTTCCAATGCCCTGAGTAGGAATAAATATTATTCGACTGCCCTGGAATTGACATTATTCGACTGTCCTAGAATGAAACAAACGTGTGATGCCTTTCACCGACAGAATTTTTTACCATATTGGTTTTAGTCCAGTTTCTACTTTGTCGAAAACAAAGAAAAAGTATATAAATAAGAAGAAAGGTTAGAATATGGTAATTTGGATTAATCTACTCGTAAACAAAAATGAATTGCCAGAGCAAGCAAGAAATTCACAGTCATCTTCTTTAGTTTCACCTTAACCTATTACTTCTTCACTAAGACAAACTGAATTAATGACCTATTGCTCGACTAAGTCTTGAACCTTTTATTGCAACAAGTCATCGATAGATATTATCAAAATTTTCATTAAATCAATCGTGTGACTCTCACTTGTCCAACTTCGTGAAGTTATATTTTATTTTCCAACTTGAGCCGATGGCATAAATTAGAAATGAGATATGTGTCCATGGGGTACATGATAAATGAATGGAGATTTGAATGCTTTTTTTTTTTTTTTTGAGAGTCATTGTGCAACTATAACTAGAGTCTCGACCACCTTGTTCTTTTATAAAGATTTGGATCCAACTTACTAAGAAGGCAAATAGGTTCAGGACCAATTTGAAAATTTTCCGGCCCCAATAAAAGCCATGAATTGAGGAATTTAAGAGTTAGTTGTAGGGTGAGCACGATTCAACATTGTCTAGTTCTTGAAAAAAAACTAATCAAATTAAATTGAGGAAATCCAGTTATTTTCAAACACTTTAAAATTGGACTATATTAGGTACACAACGGTGTCAAACAATCTAATCAATCTCTTTTTCTATATATCAAGCATTCCCTTTAGTTTTGTACAAATGGAGTACTAGAAGTTGATAAATCAAGATGAACAAGTTTGATCTCATTGAAGGTGTAATCATCTTATCTAAAAGTTTAAATGATTGGAGAAAGACTAGGGATGGCAACGGGACGGGAACTAGGCTTTTTAAATAAAAGCCCCTATCCAATTCCCTTGAGAAGGGACAGGGAGCCAAAACCTGTAACTTTTGTCAATTTAATTCATATAGTAATGGCGAAGGGTAAGAAAGAGCTGCTGGCGTCAGCCCCATGGAGGGTGGAGGAAGAGGAAGAGAAATTCAAAGACGCGAAGCTGAAAGTGACGAACCAGCCAGGTACAACCCCCAAAATGCACGTCCCTGGAAATAAGAAGTACAAAAACGACGACGTTGCGGAAGACTCCTTCACTGAAATCGACCCCGAACTCCGCTACCGCTTCCAGCGCAATTTCCAAGTAATTGAATTAATATTTTTGTTTACACGTATTTGTACATATGCTTGTGTATTTATATGTTTTAGGTTAACTATATGAGAACCCGTTTGGTAAAATGTGGTATATTTATGTGTTTCGTGGTGGAAATTTTAGTATTATGGGAGAAAGGTACAATCTTTGGTGGCCTGAGGAGCAATTTGATAATGATTGTGTTTGCTGGGATTGTGGGTTTTGTTTTTATTGTGTTGTGTTCTTATATCTTATGGTTGCTCATAATTAAGCATCAAAGTCTTAGAGTGAATTGAACTCTTTATTTTATTTTTAGTGCATTGTTTTAGTTTAAGCAGGCAGAGCATAGTTTGTTAAAGTTGGAGATTGGTTCGAACTTTAGTTGGGCTAGTGTTGTGATTCTAAATTGAATGAAACAAGTAATCAAGAATGTGATTGCTTTTCCTCCTCTCACCGTTGCTGAGCAACCTTTCTTTAATTCAATTGTGTCCTTTCTTCAGGTAAACTCTCCATCACTTGCACTTATCCACCTTTCTTTGACATCCATAACTATCCCCTTTGGAAAACCCTTGTTCCACCAACATTACCTCCTAAAGCCTTCCCGAACGTAATTGTTCTTCCACAGTTTCATTCATTGAAAGAGTTTAGGGTCACCTGGAGAAGTGGAAAGAAATATGACCTTTGCAATATATCTCCTTTTGTTGAAAGAAGGGAACCTCTAGGACGACAGAGGATGTAATACGGTGCCCGTGCATCAGTTTACAATGCTCACCACTATCTTTATCAGATTGTGCTCAGCTCAATATAAGCCAATGTTCGTGTTGGGATCCTCATGCTGTAACTCAATCCCTGCATATACTCACTTCTTGCTTTCTCAGTTGTTAGCCACTGGTTGGTGGCAGGTCCATGGTCATCTTAATCACTTGTATGAGGACATCTTCTCGGAGTGACTCTTGATACAAAGTAATGACGGATACTCATTAACAAAGATTCCAATCAGCAACTTACGAGAATTAAGAAGTATTGAAGAGAGAGAGAGAGACAAGACAAAGAAGAGAAACTAGAAAGGGAAATTTGTAATGGTATTCAATAATCAAAGTGTAAGTAAAACAGTTAACCCTCTATGTTTAGGGGTTTAAATAATCCTAAGTAGAAAATTAAAGATATCTAATTTAAATAGAAAACAAAAAATTTAAACCTAATCTAATATGAACTAGAATTAAAGAAACCACAATATTTAATTTATTTTTTCCTCAATATACTTTAATCGCTGCATCACAAAGTCTTTGTCTATAACAAATGAATGCCTGCTGATTAACCTATTCCTCTCATCATAATAAAGCATGTTCTACTCTAGTTTGTTACTTAACCCTTTCCTCTAAAAATACTTCACCTGATCCATACACCCAAGCTGTACCAAAGTCAGCCACACTATTTTTCGTTTTCATAACCTTTGTCGTTATTGACCATGGCCGTCATACCATCAAAATTTTTTTTTTTTCAAACTGATATGGAAACAAAACATTGCATTCATTGTACAGAAGTCATTAGCGTCTTGTAATCTTATATCCTGTGCAATTTATTATATATGTAAGATGTGTTGTATCATTGCAGTCATTGATGTATTTCTTTCACATGTGTGCAGTTTATTGGTCATGTTTTTAGCATCGACACCATTGTCAAACCTCTTCCTCCTGCAATGGCATATAATGTCTCCCGCAACTTGAGCTTCTTCACACGAATCTTTACACAGTTCTTTGGTAAGTTGAATTCTCCGAGTGTGTATTCTCTGGTGCTGCCCTTTGATTTCAATAGGAAAAGACAATATGATTAGGGTCTTTTTGTTTCTTTTACTTTCCTTTTCTTTTGTTTCTCTCTCATGGGATGGTATTAGCTTCAATTCAGTGACTTCTTGCTTCTCCATTGGTTAGATTAGCTCCACATGTAATTAAGCACAATCCATATATAATTAACAAATATTGAACATTAACCTGGTAATAACAAGACCTGACATAAGATGGAAGAAATAAGTAATACGACGCCAGACAATTAGCTCGTACTTCAGATGAAAACTAGTCACCAATGAGTTTGTGCTCATATGTTATGGTTTCATTTCTCTCCCCCTCCCTCTCACTCTCCCCCTCCCTCTTATTTTTTTTGTAGACTTCTCCATATAGCTTCTTTTTACTTGTTCTCTTCGGGTGAGGTGCTTGGTGTTGATGGGGTTATGTCTGACATGTATTGACTTTATTTGCTTTGGCAGTTCTAATGGAAAGGAGGGAGGGAGGGGGTGGTTGGCTGGGGGACGGTAGTTGAAGGAACCGTTATATTTCTAGCCATTTCATTCATGAATTACAGAAGAATGAAATGCATTTGCTATACTTCGCTGCACGGAAAATTTCTGCTTTCTAATGATGCTTCTCCCTCTCTTCTTTTTCTGTTTCTGTTTGGGCAGACCCTGAAGGTATAGCAAATGCACAGAAATCTCTTGGATTAGGCCAAGAAGAAAAAGTTCGTAAAGTCCGCTGAGCAAGTTCTTGAATTCCAGAGAAATTTGATTGGTTCGTTTGAGAACTAATCTCTCCAGTGTTGATGGAAGAGCAATTTGTATTCCAAAGTTGTCAAGGCGTATTGCATAAATTAATTTCTGTGACTTCTGCCAGAAAGATTCGTGTTTGCTTAATCACTTGAAACGAAGTATGTTCTAGCTCTCGGAAATTGTACAAGGTTGATGTGCGAAGTCGTGCCATTTTAATGTTAAACATCGTCCACAACGATCATAACTGCAATTGAACTGAAAGGTTGAGGACTAAATGTTTAGATTTAAGGAATCAAAGTTTCTACAGACGCAAAATGTTCTTTTATAAAGATTTGGATCCAACTTACTAAAAAGGCAAATAGGTTCAGGACCAATTTGAAAATTTACCGGCCCAATAAAAGCCATGGATTGAGGAATTTAAGAGTTAGTTGTAGGGGTGAGCACGATCCAATATTGTCTAGTTCTCGCAAGAAACTAATCAAATTAAATTGAGGAAATCCAGTTGTTTTCAAACTCTTTAAAATTGGACTGTATTATGTACACAAAGGTGTCAAACAATCTAATCAATCTCTTTTTCTATATATCAAGCATTCCCTTCAGTTTTGTACAAATGGAGTACTAGAAGTTGATAAATCAAGATGATCAAATTTGACCTCGTTGAAGGTGTAATCATTTTATCTAAAAGTTTAAATGATTGGAGAAAGATTAGGGATGGCAACGGGCGGAGTGGGGGCAACCTCCCACGCCTCGTCCCTGCCCTGTTACCTGTTTAAGGTGGGGCTGGGTAGGACCCTTGCCCTGTTTACCATCTTGTTAAATTTTTTTTTCTTTTTTTTTAAGTTTTTGATAATTCATCTTATTGTCCACATTCATTAGATTGAAACAAATAATATTTGTTGCCATTTTCTATTTAAACTAATAAAATTTCGTGAAATTTTTCATTTACAGTATTGAATTCTAAAAAAAATAAACGGAGCGAGGCACCCGTAACCTGTCCTTTCCTGTCCCCGCCCCGAACCCTCCACGTCCCCGACCCAAATACCCGACTAAGCATCCCCATCCCGTTTGGGGCGAAATCCCTCATGTATCGGGTTTGTCGGATTTTTTTATCATTCCTAAGAAAGACGAGTCTTGTCATCAATATTGTAACTTTATTTTTGTTAAGTTTAACCCATATGGGCGGCGATAAAACTTGAACCTTGATATTTTGTCTTACTCTAATACTAAATTTGGAATATATCTCATCTAAATTCATGAAAAGATGAGAAGGGTCGACATTGAATTCAATCTTATCTTCAACAATAGGCTTGCATATCTGTAAAGGACATTCCCTAATCCCTTGAAGTTCAATTCTCACGGGATAGCACCTCGTCTCACCGCTGATTTGGGCAAGACACTCAACGAACACATGAAGTACAGCTAGAAAGACATACCCTATTTAATAAGGACATGTACCCTATAAATATACATATACAAGGATCAGTGTCTTTATTCAGGGTCACTCATATACTATGGCAAAATTGAATGAGTTTATTTTGTGGGTCCTATTTTCTTTCTCGTGGCTAACAACTAGGGCTTGCTCACAGCCTCAAGAACCCCAAGTGCCATGTCTTTTTATCTTTGGGGACTCGTTGGTCGATAATGGTAACAACAATGGCATACTCACTCTTGCCCGGGCCAACTACGGGCCTTATGGCATTGACTTCCCGGAAGGAGCCACTGGCCGCTTTACTAATGGCCGGACTTATGTCGATATTCTAGGTAACTTGGAAGTATTTCATTTTGTTGAAGTACCTCGTATAAAAATTTAAATTGTTGTATACTAGACGAACTAATTTATTTATAGGACATGTTTGGCTAAGCTAAAAACACATAAATTTTGTTATGAAAATTCAGAATTATGGAACTGTGAATCACTTTCTTGTGTTATTTTGCAGCTCAACTTCTAGGATTTCCAGCCTACATTCCACCCTTTGCAAGAACCCGTGGTCGAGAATTACTCCGCGGAACAAATTTTGCATCGGGAGCAGCTGGAATCAGGGACGAAACTGGAAACAATTTGGTAAAATGAAATTCCCTTATATGTCATTAAGAAAGCTCCATTTAGTTTTTGCTTATTTAGAAGGTATAAACCTAACTCCCTTTCTCCATGGCCTAAATGATGATTATAAACCCTAAAAAAGGGCTTCAGCAATGGATTTTTCTAATTTCTTAGCCCCTATCCGGTTTGGCTAAAAATCACTCCAATCACGTGAAAGATCAACGACGACTAGGGTTTCCATTTCCCTTAAGATACACTCCTACCATAAGAATGGGATCGTTTATTTACAACGGAATTATGCATACATACGCGTATAATTATATGAGCAATGTATTTATATGTATATTTGATTGCAGGGGGATCACATGTCAATGAACCAGCAGGTTGAAAGCTATGTAAGAACAGTCCAAGAGTTGAGTAGATATTTCAGAGGAGATTTGAATGCGTTGGGGACTTATCTCAGCAAATGCATATTTTACTCAGGAATGGGAAGCAATGACTATCTCAACAATTACTTCATGACTGATTTCTATTCATCTTCTTCACAATTTACCCCAAAAGCTTATGCTGATGCTCTTCTTCAAGATTATTCAAGACAATTAACGGTAGACATTATTTATTCATTTTATTATTATATTAGTTATTCAATTCGACGTGCTGACTCGGTACTTTGAATGAATAGAGAACTTCAAAAAGGTTGACCTAAACTGGATCAAAGTTACTCTTTGAACTTTTTACTGTCTTTACCATCGATAAATTTCTCGATTTCATCATTTAGGTATACCCATAAATACGGTATTAGTTTTTCAGAACTTACACAAGTGGGGAGCTCGCAAGGTGGTAGTGACCGGGGTAGGCCTAATCGGGTGCATACCATATGAGCTAGCCCGATATAATGGCAACGGTAGCAGATGCAATGAAGTGATTAACAGTGCCATTGTCCTCTTCAATACAGGCCTCAAGAAATTGGTTGATCGATTCAACAAGGGTCAGCTGCCCGGAGCAAAGTTTGTTTATCTAGATTCCTATGAAAGTAGCAAAGACCTAGTGCTCAATGCAAAAACTTACGGTAACGCGTCCTCTCTACATAAATTCATTGGATTCGAGTATGAGTGTGCAACTAAAGAAAATATCAACAATTTTTTAGAGAAAAACCCCATGCTGGATTGAATGTGTAATAATGTGATGTGCTTCACGACAAGCATCCATATAATTTGGATTAACAATCGACGCTCAAAGTTATCATTGTTAAACCATCAATCATCATGTTAAGCTTTCAAATGAGATAGTCAACCTCAATTTCAAAACTCAAGCAAAAATCCTAGGTTCAAGACTCAGCGCCATACTTTCATAAAATTTGTCACCTGTCAAGCTATTGATCGCCAGACTCAGCGCCATACTAGATAGTTAATCATTACTCCTTTCAAATTAAGCTTCAAGAATTGACCAGTTTATTTTATGTAAAACGTGCAGGATTTCAAGAGGTGGACAAAGGATGTTGTGGAGTAGGGAAAAACAATGGGCAAATAACATGTCTTCCGCTTCAAACACCATGTGATGATCGAACGAAGTACTTGTTCTGGGATGCATTTCACCCTACCGAAGTTGCAAATATATTGCTTGCCAAGAAATCATACAGTTCAAAATCTAAGTCATATGCTTATCCCATTAATATACACCAATTAGCCATGCTCTAATCCCTTCTAATGATGAATAATTATAAGTTAAAATGCCACAAGAATTGCTTATTTTCAATCATTAAGTTATGCTAACTAAGGTTGTCTGTTCTTTTTTGTTTCAGTCATTTGTTCTTGTTAAGATCAATTTTAATGAAATCAAAAAAATTATCTAGAGAATCATGCATGCATGCATGGTGCTTCTTTGAGCGTTTTGTGTTGGGAATTTACTTAACATGAACAGCGGAAAATTAATAATTTTTCAATTCTCACCACGGATCTGCAATGTGTTTAGATAGAAATTATGTTGAGAATTATACATTTGATGAATTCTGTAAACTCTTTTGCTGATTCTCGAACTCCAATGATCTCGATCTACAATCCAAGCTGTCCAATTGTCCAACATCCAATGGTGATCCACACAGAGAACAAGAATGACGGTTAGGGTTTTTCTTTTCTTGTGCTAGCAAGAATAATGAAAATTCTCTACAGTTTACAAACCCTAGCAGCCTATTAATATAAGCCCAAATAGGTTGGCCCATCTCTAAACTTTACCTGGTCCAATATTTAATTAATCAAATTAATTAAATTCGGTTCATGAATTAATTAATCCAATTCATTAATTCGGGCCTATTAATAAGCAACTCAATTAATTAATTGTCCAACACTTATCAATTAATTAATTGGTAAATTTCATTCTTCTGGTTCTCTTTTGTGTGTGACCCATTAGGTTC